GTTATCTATGAAAAGTAGTCATATAAAGAAGCCAATAAAACCTTTGAATATACAGGGATGCATAAAGATCATTCAAGTAGATAGATCACTGCGAACATGAGCCGCTTTCAAAATTGCCTTCACCATGTATTTAAAAGCACATTAGAGCTTTCTCCCAGAGGCGGAAGTTCTTGCTAGACTCACGCGGTTAGTCTGTGACCTTGTGTCTTCCTCTGTTTAACACAGAGTCATGTGGCACTTTGTCACATGCTGGTAGAGCAAGGCTAAAATAATCCCAGAATGGGCACACCTCTCCAATATATTCACATACATTGCACATGTACTTGCAGTGTAGTCTCACAGCTGAGCAAGTCGACCTAGAAGATTTTCTTTGTCTTTCTGCGTGGATTTTCGTGGAGAGGGGACGGAGAGATTTAAGGTACCAGGAAATTAAATGTTTCTAAGTGAAGCCCTGAGGAGCAAGCTTTCTCAGCAAAATGGTCTAGATAAAAAGCAGTTTCATTCATTCATTCATTCATTCATTCAATTTATCCATCAGTACTTCCTAAGCATCTACTATGGGCCAGGTATTGATCTTGGCTCATATTCTTGGTTCATTTTAGTTGAGAAGATACACGGTTCACAAATAAGGCAAGAGCTATGAAGAATAAAGTCAGGTGGTAAAAAGTAAGCTCAGTAGAGGGATGGGGAAAGAGATTGATGAGAAAGGTCTGTGATGAGGCACTTTTTGAGCAGAGACCTGGATGAATTGAGGGAAGAATCAATTGTCTGTACCATCCTTAGCTCACTGTACTTTCTTATATTATGAGCATACAGAAAACTGAGGTTCCTGATATTTTAACTGCTGCTTGGAGAAGAGAGTAAGGACTTTGTTTCCTGGCCAATCATGGTTTAGAGAGGTTCACCCTACCTAGCCACTCTCAGCTAGTGGGTGGGGATTTGTCTTTGAGTTCTCTACCTGTCCAGATCCTCAATGAATTCTCATCCATCCGTTTATCTAAGCCAGGCACTCCATGGCTTCAAATATTAACCATTCTTTCCTACCTTTTCATCCCTTTTCAAGGAGCTGGAAAAGAAGAATGATTTGGCTTTATGCTCCTTCAATCCTTCCCCTTCTTGGCCTCTGCTGTGTTGGTTAACCAGTTTTAATTATTTTATGACACAATCGCCAGAGCTGGGCTGAGATCACCAATTTGTTACTCAAAGGCTATTAATTATCCAGCTGGTGGATGCCAGCCCCATGGCTATCTATTGGTGTGCCATGAGGGCAAAGCGAAGCCTCCATAGAGGGACTCTAGGTGAAATCTCCCCGCCAAGAATCCAATTGGCCAATAGACAATGTGCAGTGCTTGGTTTGTTCCCCTCGCTTATACCAGACAGAGGTGGATCCAGTTGGTGGTTCCCAGCCCTCAAGGAGATAGCACTTTTACTGATAAAGCCTTAGAGACAAGCTTTTTGGCCATGCAGGCAGTTTAGCTCCGTTGGGATTTCTTTCAAGACACAGAATCTTAGATACGGAAGGAATCTTAGAAATTATCTAGTCTAACCTCCACATGTTCCTGAGAAGGACATCAAGATTGTGAGAGGCTTTGATTTACTCAAGGTCACAGCCATGGTCTCTCTCTACTGCATTACGCTCCTCCCATCTTATTCATTCGTTTTAGCCTCCACCAGACATTTGGGAACAATGCATGCGACAACCATCATCTCCACACTGAGGGCAAGAGCCCCCACGTGCAGCACCAAAAAATGGAAAACAAGGCCTAGCAATGCTCTAGACAGAACGTCGGACTTCTACTTGGTACACAGACATGACACTTTGGTTTTAGTTCTCTCCCCTTTGTTCTAATTGTATAATGAAATCATGAAGAATCTCTCCCTCCCTCCCTCCTTCTCTTTCTCGCTCTCTAACTGGGAGTAGAAGTAGCAGTTCCAAAACTGTCTCCTCTGTGTATATGCAGCATCATCTCCATTCCTACTATGTTCTTGGCTTGAGTACAGCCCTGTTTGCTTTGGTAGACTTCATGGTTCAATTTTCACATATGCATATATGTTTTAAAAGATGTAGTATACATCTGTACACCAACCTGGTACTGAAAAACAAAAATTACCAGCTTTGGAGTCAAGCATTCATAGGTTCAAAACCAGGATTCAATGCTGATTAGGTGTGTCACCTTTATTATTTAACATCTCAGAACCTCAGCTTTGTCATCTGTAAAATGGGAAAAATAATGACAAATGTAGCAAATCCACCCTCACCATTCCTCCTTCTCTTTTTCCTGTTGCATGGATATAATTGAATCCAAACGTGTGTTGAGTTTCTCACAGAGCAATTTAGTTCTTTCCTTTTTCATAAATGCCAAGAGAAGGCACTAAATGAGTGTATACTTCCTGTCTAATAGGATTTCAGGGTCTGTCCCTAAAAGCAACTTAAAAGCAAGCATAATCTGAGAACATTTCAGGATGCATCGAGTGCCTTCTCTCTCATTCTGATCTTTTGCCCTTTCTCTCTATTTATTTCCCTTTTGTCCGCCCTACAAATATCCTTTATAAAATGTACATGAATGGCCCATGGCTTCCATCGCTCCTCTGTCCCGGAATCAACTCTGTCCAGACCCAGGCTTTGGATCTGTGAGTGACGCAAGAAGCTGTTTTTGGCTCCGGGAATGTTTTCTTCTATGTTCTGACTCCTCTCTTGTTGTCCTTCTTTCCTCTCTGTCTTCTCTCCACCTCTCTTCCCCAGACACCCCCACTGTTTCTCTCTTCCTGTTTTCTTAGTTTCTTCCCTGCTCCTTGGTGGCCAAAGCGCCAATCAATCACAGCCGCTGCCATAATCTCAGCTCTGTCTGTGGCTCTTCTGTCTCCATGATTAAACAAGATAGAAGCAGCCTTTCCAAGAGACAGACCATCTCCACAGTAGCCTGTGGGAGGCCGCCTGGCGAGGTCAAGTCTGCCAATAAGAGCATTTCCTTGCAGCTGCAAGGCTCGGGAGAGCAAACTGACAGCTAGCTGCACAAGTTTGCCGGCGACGCACTTAAGTTGTTTTGCTCTGCAAAAACATGGGAAAATTCTGATAAATTCCAGATGATTTCAAAACACATTCGAGGGTCAGACATACAAAAGGCAGATAAAATCTAAATTAGGTAAGTACAAGTTGATGCACAAATCTCCATATGGGTCCGAACATCTTGCAGATTGGAAGGCTTTAAATTTGACAATTCCCAGTTAGGGATGATAAAAATTGAACTTTGCTCTCCTTAAACCCCAAGCCATTATGAGAAGAGAAGGTTCACTCAAAGTTGAAGTCAGATGGCTAGTAAAAATCAGAAGGAAATGAATAATCATTAGAAATGTTTTTAATCCAGTTAAGAAACTAGAATAGATGGAAAGACAGAAGAGTATATAAAAGATACTCATCATGACTTCTGCATGAGCAGTAAGCTAACATACCTGTTCCATTGTCCCTATTCTAAGAAGACGGGTTCCATATTGGTGCTGAAAGGAGACAGTAGATTTTGCCTTACAGTCCTTACACTGTGACCTGCATTCATTAGTATTGTCCAGAATTACTGAGCCAGTGTAGCCATACGTCTGAGTACAAGTTAGACCTTTCTATAGGCTTTCAGAATTATAGAAAAGTTGATAAAAAGCATAAAGAACACTATCTTAACTAGTGTCACCAATAAGACATTCTTTTACCTAAGTATCATACCATTCATACTCCCAAGAATATTCAGCATTGATACACTGTTATCCAATATTAAATGGATATTTAAATTTTCCCAACTGTCTCAGTAATATTTTATTACCTTTCATGACATGGACAGTTTTGAAGAGTCCAGGCTACTGCTTTGTAAAATGTCTCCATAACCTGAATTTGTCTGATTGTTTCTTTGTGATTAGATTCAAGCCAAAACACTATGCAGGTGATGGTGTGGACTTCCATTGCATCATATCAGGAGGCACTGATGTCCATCTGTCCTGGTATTGGTGATACAAAGTTTTTCATTTTTTAATGTTTTTTATTTTTTTATTTTATTTATGAGAGAGAGAGAGAGAGAGAGAGAGTGCTAGTAGGGCAGGGGCAGAGAAAAAGGGAGACACAGAATCAGAAGCAGGCTCCAGGCTCTGAGCTGTCTGCACAGAGCCTGACATGGGGCTTGAACTCATGGACTGTGAGATCATGACCTGAACCCAAGTCAGACACTTAACTGACTGAGCCACTCAGGTGCCGTTGGTGATACAAAGCTTGATCACTTGGTTAAGGTGGTGACTGCCATATTCTCCACTGTAAAAGTATCCTTTTCCAGTGTGCTGCAATCACAAGCACAAGGGGGATAGCGGAGTGTTAATTTTCTAATTTTTTCATTCCTTCTGTATATGTTAGATGGAATCCTTAGTATCAAACCCAGGTCTTTCTGATGTCCAAGTTCATGCTCTTTCTGCTACAGGAGCTCCCTCTCCAACATGTCAACAAATGAAGCTAAAAATCTGAAGCTGCTGGGACAGTAAAGCATTTTTTTAAATGTTTTATTTATTTTTGAGAGAGAGACAGTGTGAGGAGGGGAGGGTCAGAGAAAGAGGGGGACACAGAATCTGAAACAGGCTCCAGGCTCTGAGCTGGCTGTCAGCAGAGAGCCCATCGTGGGGCTTGAACCCACGAACTGTGAGATCATGACTTGAGCTGAAGTCGGATGCTTAACCAACAGAGCCACCCAGTGCCCCAGTAAAGCATTTTAATTTCATCTCATTTGCAAGTCTGTTTTCTTTCATCTTGGCAAACATAGACCCCCTTCTGTAACTTTGGGACCCACTTAAAAAAAAAAAAACCCAATATGCATGCAGTGCTATTTCTAGGGTTCATATGTAAAGAGGTAGAGAATGTCCAAATCAACTTCTCTCCCTCAGCATCACTGACATTATCCCACCCCTTTGAAGGGATCTAGGTAACATTTTTTTCTTCTTCTTCTTTTTTTTTTTTTTTTTTTTTTGTGGCAAAGGTGGACTGAAGAGGAGTTTGGCACAACTTTTGCCATTCTTTTCTGAGCAAAGTCGGCTGGACCCCCCTGGGTGAGGGGGAAAGTAGGGTCTGTAGAGTAGCCAGCAAAGACCTTGACTCCACAGAAGATTGCACACCCGCCTTCCAGTGATGCCAAGTAGGAGTCAGGGGACCCTGGAGGAGAACAGGAGGGGGCAGGCAGCCTGTGAGCCTTGCTGGCTGCGGACGCTGGGAACACAGAAGATATGGCCGATCTGAGAGGAAGCCCTGGTCAGAAACAGAATTACACTCTCTTCTTTCTAATTAGCTGCTTTAAGGAAGTTGGTGTGGGTAGATTCCTGAGGAAATGTGTGGCTGGGAAAACACACAGTGAGAAATCCCTGGTTCTACCTCTGTCCCTTCGTCACATTAAAGAGCAGCAATTTTTCTAGTCACGAATAAATTCAAGTTTATAAGTCACACTGGCAATGTCAGAGTTAGCCTGTTGGTGTTATAAACCCTAAAAAAAAAAACCCCAAACTAAAACAAAAAATATTCTCTTTGTTTGCCATCTTTGTACTGTTTAACATGAGTATTTCAACAGTCTTTATTTTCCAAACACGCAAACAGGGGAGAGTGATCTGACCCACAGTATATTGACATACCATGTAGCATAACCTTGAGATAAAAAGTAAAGGAAAAAAGTCAAAACAGCCCAAACCAAATACTAACACAAACAAGTCTTTCTTCAGCCCAGACCCCTTTCCTCTGGAGCAAGGGCAACACTAGCATTAGCACACAGTTGGTAGAGTGGACACACTTACCTCTATGCTGGGGGGCAGACCCTCAGGGCCCAAGTGCACAGCAAGAAGGTCTGAAGTATTCATTCATTAATTCAACAAATGTACATGAAGTATCTACTCTGGGCTAGACACAATTCTAGGTGTTGCGAACACTTTATACATCTAGGGCTCTTAGAACACTGAGAGGAACTTACCTAGAGGCATGAGGAAAAAAAGACGGAGAATATACTCCTGTGGTGTTGAGAGAATATGGGAAATAACAGCTACAGCAGAAAGCCTGAGCAGGTTTCCCGGATCCCGTATTTCCAAGAAAGCAACGGCTTCAAAATGTGGGTGACACTGTGGAACAGCTATTAAAGGCCAAAAGACAAAGAAAAAAGCAGAGAATCAAAGAAGCTTCCCTCCTCACCATACATGGAAGGGTCCTTTGGGAGCTTTTACCAAATTGGTCAGGAAGAGTGAAACCTAATGTCTGTACGATGATGCAGAAAAGCAACAGTAGAGACTCCCATGCTGAAGGAACCCCAAGGATGGACCGCCCACCGTAGTAACAGGTAAATAACTAACCTTCTTTGCTATGCAGAGCTCAATGATCAGCATTTTACATGTATTGGCTCATTTACTTATTTCAATCAGCACCCGGCGAGATAAACACTAATTTTAATCCCATGTGAAGAAACAGACCCAGAAAGTGAAGGAACTTGCCCTTGCCCAAGGTCACATACGTGGCAGATGATGGATCCTAGCTCTGTCTCATGCCAAAATCCATGTTCTAAACCACTGCATTTCCACTCATAAAATTATTTTTCATCATCTCATTTAAATGAAAAGGTATTAATATAGAACAGGAAAATTATTCAGATATCTTCAGAAAGTGGTCTGTGTTTTCAGGTTATTATCTTAGGAGAAACAAACACGTCCTATTAGTCAAAAGCAAATACTTACCACTTCCTCAAATATGGGAGAAATTAAGAGATAAACTTTTATAATCACTTCAGTGTGCATAAGCCCAACATCTAATTATTGAACTGAATTGGATTCAAGAATGGTGGGAGGTCGGTATTTTATTCAATTAATAAGTTACTCCTCAAAGCGCATTTTACAGCCGCATACACTTCCACCTCCATCCTCTACTTGATAATTGAATTAATCATAAAATAACTACAATGAAGCTGGTTTCAAGAAAATGAGACAGAACTCCATGATGAAGTATATGCCTCTTTGGGAATGAAACCATGTCAAAAACCTTTATCAAAACCTCAAAAATAATGGTAATAGAACTGAACTTTGAACAATGGGGAGAGGTCTTGTGTTTGCTTGAAATCACTTAAATTAAATGTAATGAAAAGTGATCAGAGTGCTTATTTTTACTTTGTTTTGTGGGAAATTGTGCTGGGAATGTGGATCCATTGTGCACAAAGGATGTTGGCTTTATGCTGGAACCACCAGGCAGGTTGAGTTGAGAAACAATTAGCTCAGTCAGCAAGCCTTTGAATCTGATTAAGCCAGGAAGCGGGCAGTCCCCACGACAGGGCAGAATGAAGGGAATGGAGGCCGTAATCCAAAACAAGGAATGATTTCTCCCTCTCCCTCTCTCTCTTTTTCTTTCTCTCGGCAAACTAGCATTAGAATGTATTGCATCAAATTTATGTCAAGGATTATTTCATTACAATTTATTATCTTTGGTGAAACAAATAGCAGCTTGTTTCCAAGTCGATCAACAGTCCACATGTGTCATGGCTACTGTCTCCAAGAAACTTCTGTTTACTGAGGCCTGACATACCCTCATGTTTTGGTAACAAAACATCTTTGAGATCGAGGACCCAAGTCACAGAGGAAGATGCAGAACCTATACCAGGCTGCTGGCCGAATTCTCATTTCCCTGGGGACCCTCAGTGTATTCTCTGGAGTTCTTGCTTTCTTCCTTGTCTTTTCTTACAAGCTTTGGTTCACAGGATGGAATGTCTGGATTGCTTGTCCCATCTGGAATGGAGCTTTGGTAGGAAAATATTTTATTATGTATATTGAGAGAGTACAGAAAGAGGGGAGGGAAAGAAGAAAAAAATAACATGTCTTTTGTGGGGGTGCCTGGGTGGCTCAGTCAATTAAGTGTCCTACTTTGGCTCAGGTCATGATCTCATGGTTCACGAGTTCAAGTCCTGCATGGGGCTCTGTGCTAACAGCTCGGAGCTTGGAGCCTGCTTCAGCTTAGAGCCTACTTCAGATTCTGTGTCGCCCTCTCTCTCTGCCCTTCCCCCACTCATGCTATCTCTCTCTCTCTCTCTCTCTCAAAAATAAATGTTAAAATTAATTAATTTTTTAAAAAAGAATCATATGTCCTTTTTAAGTTTTGCAACAATACAAAGATGTCAAAATTCTACAGGAAATTAGAATTTACTGTAGAACATGTATTTCTACTAGTTGCCTCTTAAATGTAGGATCTTTCTTAATATCATTTTATCATATATACTATCATGTGCACTAAGATGAAATGCTGTTCAAGAAATTCTTAAAAAGTTATTTTAATCTTCTCACCCTGATTTTCTGAGAAATTGGCATCTATCTTTTGAAATTTGAATTTTATTTTTTTAAGTTTTTTTTTTTTTAAGTAATCTCTATCCCCCTCACCCCCAACATGGGGCTTGAACTCACAACCCTGAGATCAAGAGTCACATGCTCTCATGACTGAGCCAACCAGGTGCTGCTAAAATTTAAATTTTAGAAAAAACATATAAACCATAAAAGGTTATGTAAAACAATGGAGAAGAGAATAAAATAATTTTTAGACGGATGCTTTCACTAGAAACACTCCGGTGTGTTGACATGATCCAAGGATTTGCAAGCCCCAAATCTTAGTTCTCCCACATTTTTCTTTGTATGTGACTGTTTGAACCGCAAATAATTCAGGAAGTTGGGTGATGTACTTCACTAACCTCATAGTTCATTAGGAAGTGTGCATGTGCCAGTATAAGTAGGCACCAAATAGGTGCACCATGACTATTTTTTGAGTAACTGCACAAAGGAAGGATTAGGCTGGTGCCTGAGCCCTCTGGGTCAAAGAAATGAATACGTCTAGCCTTGTGAATTAGGTGTCTTTCATGGTGGTATGATTTAAGAGCAGTTAGAGTCTTGTAACAAATCCTTCTCTCATTGTTTCCCGTGATGCATGATGTTCACCTTTAGAGACTAGAGAATTAGACTTTAAAGCATTTTGATCTTAAGGAGTTTTCTATTAAAATGTCGTCAGTTTTGGGAGAGGCAACACTTCAAGTCTTAAAAAAAATCAAACTTTAACTGAGACATCACCTAAAAGCAAGACCCTATAAAAGATCATTTTAATCTATTTATTAAGTAAATATGTATTGACAACCTACTACATGCTTGAGTTGCCAATGGGGGAAAAAAAACAACCAAGGTCTCAATTTTTAAAAACTCTATCTAGTGGAATTTAAGGATGGTGAGTAGATGAGAGAAAGCTGAATGGTGAGAGTGTGGGACTGAACAAAAAAACAATTTGATGATGTCTTCCTTTTTCTTTTCTTTTTTTCAATTTTTTAAAAATGTTTATTTATTTATCTTGAGAAAGAGAGAGCAAATGGGGGAGGGGCAGAGAGAGAGGGTGAGAGAGAGTCCCAAGCAGGCTCCTCACCGTCAGCACAGAGCCTGTTTGCAGGGCTCAATCCCACAAACTGTGAGATCATGCTGTGAGCCAAAATCAAGAGCCCAACGCTTCACCAACTGAGCCACCCAGGCACCCCTTCTTTTCTTTTTTAATACATTCTTTTACATCTACCTCCCCAGTCTTGCCAGCCTGTTCTTTTCCCCATCTCCTACCTGAAACCATATGTTCATTCCAAGAAATAGTTATTAAACATTTGCCAGAATGCAAAAATGACAGTGACATTTATTCAAGCAGCTTCCACACTTTTTGTTGATGACCCAGAGTAAGAAAAACATTTTAGATCCAGGACCTAGAATGTGCATAAATGCGTGTATATAATTCTCTCTAGATAAATCGATAGATTTTGATACATACATAGAACATAGAACAAACAGTTTCAAAAAACAACATTTTACCTTCTGTGTAAAATGAGTTGGTATTTTCTACTTTATTATTTTTTTTAAATTCTGACTTCAGAACTTACCTCAAGTTGAATAAAACTGTAATTATCACCCAATTCTGTATTCCTTTCTTATAATTCTTTGCCTATCCCTGCAGCCTATCGTAGAACATTCAACAGACACTGATATTTGATTAGGATCATAAACTATTGAATATAGGCTTATTCTACACCATTATCTGTTTTATCAGTTACACCCAGAGAAATGACGAAGTCTGTCCCCAGCACACAGCTAGTTGGTGGCCATTTGATTTTGAGACAGACAGCATAGGGAATTGGAATCCGAAAGGTAGGATCTGGGGAGATGGAAGCTATGTTCAATGTTGATATTCTGACATTCTTGGTACACGGTCAAGATCAGGACCCTCACTGAGCCAGTTCTTCACTGCTTTTTCCTATAACATGAGGAATTTTGCAGGTAAACAGAGTCCATGTGAAACTGTCTAACCCTGAGATGCTCAGTGAGCATGACCAAATTTGAACAGAGATTGTGTAATAAAGAGCTTTGCCAATTTTGAAGCTGTATACACATGCTAGTTAATACCATGCCTTTTGTCTATGCTCTGAGCGAGGGAAATGTCTCTCTCCAGGTACGGGGAGGGTACCCTTCACATGGGGAATTCATTCCCTGATTTCAGGGAGACAGAAGAGAGTCAGTGTTCTTGGGACAACTGATACTTAAGTAATTTTAATTCAAAGTAATCATAATTCAAAGTGGCATATTTGGGGACCACCTGCCCCGAATCCTCAGTGCCCAATGTCTATCCAAATGCTTCGTTCCTAATCTCTTGCTGCCTGCTCACTTCCCCATTCCATTCCCTGACGAGTGGCTGACTTCTCCATCCATACTCTGTTAGCTTTGAGACCTCATCTCCTACCACTCTTCCCTTAGCTCATTCCATTCCCTTAGCCATCACACTAGCTCCTTGTTGTTTCAAATATTACAAGGGGTGTTTTTGCCTCAGGGCCTTTGCACTATCTCTTCTCTGCCTGGAGCCTCCTCCCACACATGGCTTATTCCCTAACTTCCTCTAAATCTTTGAAGAAATGTCACTTCCTCATTGATGCCTTCCTTCATTACCCTCATTACCCTATTTAAAATTGTAAATCTCGGGGTGCCTGGGTGGCTCAGTCAGTTAAGCATCTGACTCTTGATTTTGGCTCAGGTCATGATCTTACGGTTCCAGAGATCGAGCCCCGTGTCGGGCCCTGTGCTGACAATGCAGAACCTGCTTGGGATTCTTTCTCTCCCTCTCTCTGCCCCTCGCCTGCTTGCTCATTCTCTCTCTCTCTCTCTCTCTCAAAATAAATAAATAAAACTTTAAAAGTAAAGAAAATAAAATTGTAAATCCCCCCCACAGCTGGCATCCCCAATCTCTTATTCCCTGCTCTGTTCTTTTCCCCATGGCCCTTATCACCATCTACTATACTACATAATGGACTTATTTATTGTTTGTTTATACCCCCACCAACAAAATGTATATTTGTACAACAGTGGGGACTTTTTTTTTCTATTTTGTTTACTGCTGTACCTCCAGAACTTGAAAGAGAGTGAGTCACATACTAGGTGTTTGATAAATATGATTGCATAAGTGAATGAGTCTCATGTTCAGGTCGTACAAACTTCCTCATACTGTTGAACTCTCATTAGGTTACAAAGACTAAAAGTGAAGCTGGTACTCACACTAAAGCAGGACAAAATCATCATGAGATGAGAGAGAAGAAGAGCATCATGAGAAGAAAAGCAATAAGAGAGCTCACTCTTTCGATAATGTCTATGTTTGGAACAATGTGATATTTTTTTTTCTCTTCCTAGTGTGTTTCCTAGTGAGGCACACAGCTCTGTCTGTTCAGGGTCCACTTCAAAAGGTCTCTGACTCATGCCACAACCTTCTCTCCCGGTCACTTCTCAATTTGCCTGCAGAGTGAATCTTCCTTTGTTGGAAACACAATGTGTACACTTCAATCCTATTGACATTTCCTTTTGCAAATGGCTCCCTATCTCTTCAAAGACTTGGAAAAGATAAGTTTTTATAAGAGGTACAGTACTTTATATTTGTTTGGTGTCTTCATTTGAGATTTTTCTCAATTCTTCAAAAGATTGGTCCTCAGAACTCTCCCAGCTCTACTCTGATAGGCACGTGATAAGCAGTTTTCCTATGCTTTCTGGCTAGGTTATTTAAAGGCATCAGCTGTCAGAAAGTATGCAGCCTTAAGGACAGGGCTCTACTTGAATCCTGGAAAATGGGGCTTGGCACTCCAGTGACTTAGTTAATGGCGAGCAGCAATGCTGTACCCAGGAGCCTGCCTGGAGATAGGAACTTGGGAGAAAGGTGGGCAAGACTTACCTGTGCAGACCCCATTTTCCTGCTCTGTCAGAGAAGGGACTTGATTGTACCATCACTCAGATCTCTTACAGCTTCAACAGTCCTCCAATTTGCAAACACCTGATGGCCAATTTCCGTTTAGATATCCTAAACTTCTGTAAGCTGGGCTTGTTTCCCCAAAATCATCTCACCACCAAAGGCAGTGATTTCTTCTCCTGACTTTCCTGGCTTTGAACCCGATTTCAAACGTAGTGTGACTTTTGATTCAACCCTTCCCTCCAAACTAGTGCTTCTCAAACTGTAAGGCACATATGAATCACCTGGGGATCTTGTTAAAATGTACGCTCTGATTCAGTAAATCTGGGGTGAGGCCAGGGTGCCTGGGTGGCTCAAAAGTCGGTTGAGCATCTGACTTTTAATTTCAGCTCAGGTCACGATCTCACAGTTAGTGAGGTTGAGCCCCATGTTGGGCCCTGGGCTGACAGCTCAGAGCCTGGAACCTGCTTTGGATTCTGTGTCTCTCTCTCTCTGCCCCATCTCCTGCTCAGGTTCTGTCTCTCTCAAAAATAAATAAGCATTAAAAAATTTTTTAAAAGTAGAATAGAAACTACTAGAGTGTATCACATATAGTGACAGTGTTATTATTTTGGTGACATGTAATATATTTATAACTTGGCCATGATGCAAAATCTATTTCTTACTGTGGACAGAGGTTTAAAAAAAGTTTTTGGGCACCAGGCTGGCTCAGTCAGTGGAGCATGCAACTCTTGATCTCGGAGTTGTGGATTTGAAACCCATATTGGGTGTAGAGTCCACTTAAAAAGGTGAACTCTTTAAAAAATAATAAATAGGCGACTCTGGGTGGCTCAGTTGGTTAAGCGTTTGACTTTGGCTCAAATCATGATCCTATAGTCCTTGGGTTCAAGCCCTACGTCAAACTCTGTGCTGACAGCTCAGAGCCTGGAGCCTGCTTTAGATTCTGTGACTCCTTCTCTCTCTACCACTCTCCCGCTCTAGCTCTGTCTGTCTGTCTGTCTCTCTCCCTTAAAAGTAAACAGAATTAAAAGTAGGCTGCAGGCTCCGAGCTGTCAGCACAGAGCCTGACATGGGGCTCGAACCAATGGACCATGAGATGATGACCTGAGTTGAAGCTGGATACCTAACTGACTGAGCCACCCAGGCATCCCTAAATTTCTCACACAGAAAACACTCACTCTTCCTGCTTCATTTTGTGGACATTCTTATAAGCACATTAGTTTCACATCTGGACTGTAAATCCCAATGTCAGTTGGAACCGTCATGTGTATGGTTATTACTTGGTGAGCTTGTTATCGACCCTTGTTATATTTCCATGTTTTAAAAAGTAGGAGAAGATCAGGGCACCTGAGTGGCTCCTTGGTTAGTCTTCAAACTCTTGGTTTCAGCTCAGGCCATGGTCTTCCGGTGGAGAGATCAAGCCCCATGTCAGGCTCCACGCCAAGTGTGCAACTTGCTTAGTATTCTCTCTCTCTCGCCTTCTGCCCCTCTCTCCCCCTCATGCACTCTATCTCTTTAAACTAATAAATAAATAAATAAACAAATAAATAATTTTTTTAAAGTAGGAGATCTCCTTCATTATAAGGATTAAATGAGTTATCACATGTAAAATGTTTGGTGTGGTGCCTGGCATACAGTAAGCGCTCAGTAAATGTTAACTGCTATTATGCCATTTGCAGAGTGCCTGTCACATCCCTTGCTGGTCATAGAATCACAATAGATGCTTATAAGTGAATAAAGTAGCCCAAATTAAAAATGAATCCTCTAGGGGTGCCTGGGTGGCTCAGTCGGTTAAGCTTCTGACTCTTGATTTCAGCTCAGGTCATGGTCTTGTGGTTCTGAGTTGAGCCCGCATGTCAGGCTCTGTGCTGACAGCGCAGAGCCTGCGTGGGATTCTCTGTCTCCCTTCCTGTCTCTCAAAATAAATTAAAAAAGCAATCCCTGTTAATGTTTTTATTACTGTTGTGATGGCTCCCCGCTTCCTTCATTTCCTCTACTTCTGGGAACCTTTCGCTTTTTCGTCCTTATGTCCTTTACGGGGGCAATTGAAAGATCCGAGGAGGGCTCACAATTCCGATGCCACCAGAGTGTTCACAGCTAGTGTTCACAGCTACCGTTGCAAACCCAAGTGACGTCTCGGGAACCGTCTGTGGAACAGGAAGCCAGCCTGTCGGGAAGAGCAGAGGGAGCGGAGTGCAGGACTGGGCCTTCTCTCCAGGCTCCCACCCCCCGGGTACCTCCCCTGGGTCCCTCCTGAAACCCGACTGCCCTGCTGTGCCCAGCTCTTGCATCTCACACATTGCCTCTCACATTGCCTTTTCCGGCTTGGCTTCTCTTCCCTACCCTCAAAACTCTCCCTTTTCCCTTCTTTCTCCTTTCCATGTCTAAATACAAGAGTTCAAAAAAGAAAAGCGAGCGAGAAAACAGGAGGCTGCGACTGGGAGTTCACGCGTCCCCTGTGGCGCGGGCGCGCGGGAGAGGGGGCGCACCAGGCAAGATGGGTGTGCGGTCCCCGGAGCCACCCCGGCCGCAGGATGGGTTTCCCAACTCGCTGAATGGCATTCATACACCAGCCTGCTCCGTGAAAGATCTTTTCAAAGTTTTGTGTAAACAACGCAAAATTCAAGCTGGCTGCTACAACCGAAATAACAGTCCATGGCAATTCTCCTGCATTTTTCAACTTTTGAAAGGAAAGAGACGGCTCGTGCCAAAGTAGTTAAGGCAACCCGGAATCTAAGCGTCTAGTAATGTCAGCTATCTCCTTGGAGTTGCACCGGGAGAGGAGTGTCCCCCTTGCTTTTCTCTTGCTTGCGCCAGCGTTTCTCTCTCACCGAGGAGTGACGTGCCGACTGGGCGCCTTGCCTCTGACAGTGTAGACTGGCCCCGGCTCAGCATCAGTGTTCGGTCGCTCCTAATAATTCTGTTTTGTTGTGCTATTTATGCTGGCTCAACCTCCACAGGGTCCCTTGGAAACTTTCCTCCTGAGAATCAAGCCAACCCCTTTCGACCACAGATGGTTCTGTTTTTATCCACGGGAGTTTTATGGTGTGGCAATGCCACGTCTGGAATTTCAGCCTAGGCTGCACGAGAAGTGTTGTGTGAGCGCACGTGTGCACGCTTCTCCCCCACCGCTCTCGAATTCTCCAAGCCGGACGTTCAAAATAAAATATGCCGGAAAATGAAAACCTGGATCTCAAAAAAAAAAAGCAAGCTGGACACAGAAGCTACAAAAGCAGCATATACCACAAAACCATATTGGTAGAAGCTCTGATTCCCACCTCCCCCCCCCCCCAATTTGTTGACACTATATATACAGACATGTTTATTTCTCTGTCAAAAACCTAATTCCTAACTGCTTTTAGGCATGCTCTCATTCTATATCTGGTTTCAGGCACATCTCTTCCTGGGTTTCTCTCTCAACCTCAAAACATTCCCTGACCAGGAACAAATGATTTATGGGTCGGGAATAAGCGGTTTCCAGGCTCAGTGACCACAAAGTTCTCCTTCATCAGACCCAGAGCTGAATCAAAGATGAGCCCAGAATTTTTTTTTTCCATTATATATTGCCCTGACACCATTCCCTCCTTTCTTTCACTATTTTCATTCTGCAGTTTAGGTCTTCTTCCCCTCAAGGGAGAGTATTAAAAAACAAAACAAAACAAAACTTTTGAAAAGATGAACACCAGTGCACCCAGAACGATTAATGTCCCGCCATGCATTCACTCTAATTATAATCCTTGTTACTTGAGAAACAGAGATCACATACTTGCATCCCACCATCAGGCTGATGCTGCAGAATCAAAAAAAAAAGCAAAGAGTGAAAGATAATGCTGCTGCTGGGCAGGTTTTCAGGGTTCTGTGACACATTTCCTTTCTGGTTCCTCCCATTTGTAATTTTAGCAATTTGGTAGAAAGATGAATGATAGACAATGAATCAAAATAAAACATATGACAGGGGTTATAAAGCCACGCTTTTACTACAGTGACACCTTACAGTAGCGGAGGTTATAATTGTGATGGCAAAGGCAACACAGAAGATCAAAAAATGAGCTTGTATGAATCATGTCTTTATGACACTGATGGCTTCTTATCTTCATTGTCACCCCAGATGAGGAGGAGATCGGAGTCATAAATCCATTTAGCCATTTGCTGTTCTTTCTAGTTCATAATAAAGTTGTCAAGCCGTGAGACAGATTGAACTCTTTCCAGAGGTACATTCTCTCATGGAAGTTATTTCTCCATTTTCCTTTCACAGGCCGTCACGACTGGTATACTTCTGCTGGTGGCTCACAAAGAGTGGACCAAGATATACCTGGTAAATATAGAGAAATCAAGTACGATGGTTGAATAGGCTTGAAGGTCAAATCTCTACCGGTTCAGGATGGAACACAGAGAATGCAATTTCCAATTATAATTGAGTTCCTTCTGATTGATGCCTCACTATGATGGATTTCAGTAATAAATGAGGCTTTAAATGAATAATTTTTATTTTTATTTTAGAGAAGAATAGCACAAGTGGGAGAAAAGAGACAGTGAGAGCAAGAGCAAGAGAGAGAGAGAATCTCAAGCAGCTCCACACTCAGCTTGGATGGTACCCAATACAGGGTTTGATCCCATAACCCTGGGATTGTGACCTGAGCTGAAATCAAGAGTCAGACGCTTAACCAACTGAGCTACCCATGCACCCCTTAAATGAATAATTTATATCTGATTTCTTCTCCCAACACTTTCTGCAAGTTCCTGCAATTATTGTAAATATTTAAGTATTCCAATTTGAATAGGACAGAACTGACGTTAATGCTCCCAAATTTCAATTTGAGTAAATGGATCTATAAGCTTCTCTGTTTTTAATAGTGTATATTTAAGTCTCAATTCCTCAGCTTGGGATGTCCTTCCAACGTCTCTGTTACTTTTCTCCCTAAAAAAAAAAAAGGATGAAAAGTCTATCATAGTTTGCATTTCAATAATAGGGAGCAAAGCAATCCCATGATATAGAATGACTACTTTGATCTGATCGTAGATCTTCCCATGGCTCAAATTTTAATATAAGTGTGACTCACCTGAGAATCTGGTTAAAATGTAAACTCTGATTCAGTAGATCTGGGTCAGGTATGAGAGTCTAAATTTCTAACAAACGTCCGGGGATGTCAGTGCTACTGGACCATGGACCATGCCCTGATCAGCGAGATCCTAGGATAAAGCAGGGATTCTGGTGTTCATCTTTTTCCCATTGCAAACTGGCTATCAACACATGATAGAAGATAAACAAACATGTTTGTTGAATGGAATTCAATTAGTTTTTGGCCCAGTTGGCTGATATGTTATTCTCCCATAGTGTAGATTCAAGAAGAGAGTAAAAATTGTAACCTATTTCTCCTTCACTTCCCAATAGGAAAGACTAAGTGAGATTCATATCCAACTGCACTTTCTTTTTTCATGTTGCTAAGAAGCTTTTGAAGAATTAGTTACCAAAGTAACAATTTGTTTTTGTTTTATTTTCAGTGGGAAGCTAGTTTCATCTTTGTGAATCTGACCATTATGGGATGTCCACTTCATTTTGCAATAGTCTTGGAATCGGCTCTCCTGGGTCTGTACTGCTTCTACTCATTTTCAGGGATTGCAGGGACCAATTACCTTGGCTACACAGTTGTCTTCACTTTTCCATATGCAAAATTTGCATCAGCTTGTGTGGACCCACAGCACTATGAAGAATACCACCTGATGCTTCAAGCCTTTGACCTGTGCCTGAGCTTCGCCATGCTCTGTGTGTCCCTGACAGTGCCCATCAAGCTTTTTGCCGGACTTATCTGGAATAGACACATTACATGCAGGTTTCCAGAAAGGGGGAACGAGTTTTTTCCATCCTGAAATACTAAAATGATATTAGTACCTAATCTGTCTCTCTTATTTATCACCTTACCTTTTATAATCAAAAATTTTCCACTCTTTCAACTTCTACTCCAGCAGAGACTGATATGCACCAACATCAAATTTACCTTTCTGATTTTTTCTAAGATGACTAATAAGGATATTAATAATATGAAGGTAATAGAAATATGAACTGAATGTTTACTGTGTATCAGTGTACTTTCCACTTTATACCTAGTAGACTGAAGCTAAAGAATTATGTAATTTGGGAGAACTGAGTGGCTCAGTTGGTTACGCTTCCAACTTCAGCGCAGGTCATGATCTCACTGCTCGTGGGTATGAGCCCCACATCAGGCTCTGTGCTGACAGCTCAGAGCCTAGAGCCTGCTTCAGATTCTGTGTCTCCCTCTCTCTCTGTCCCTCCCCTGCTCTGTCTCTCTATCTCAGAAATAAATAACTATTAAACATTTTTTTAAAACAAAAAGACTTATGTAAATTGCACAACGTCAGACAGCCATGAGCAGAAGGGCTAGGTTCAGAACCTAGAGCTATTTCTCTTAACAGTCCAGATTTATCCTGGACCCCCTCATCACCCACACTGCATCCCCCTTCCTCCGCTAGACCATCAAGACGCATAGTTCTGGCCTCCAGGAGGGTTAGGGCAGGATCAACTGGGAGAACAGCACAAGTGATTTCTGATTCCAAATTCCTGTGTCTGATATGGGTCACTCCATTGTGGGTTGAACAGCCTCCTCCTGGAAAGAGATATTTCCCACTGCAAACTCTTATACTGGCTTTATGATTCAAGTTAGTTTTTTATTAAGGTCAGGTGAATTTGAGTTATGTTAGCCAATTTCTTTCCCGGTTTGATCATATCAACACAAATCAGCAAAGCTGCAAGACGAGAACTTGGCACTCTCAGTACCTTTTGTGGTCAGTCTTGTCCTCTTCAACCTCGACATGAGTCTGCAAAGGAAATCCTGTACATTCTTAGGAATAGAGTTGATTTTGCAAGAAGGCCCCCTGAGAGTTGAAGCTAGTAAACCAAAATTACCTCCTCTACTATACTGACAGTGCATCTACAAGTTTAGTATTTGAAATTTCTCCCTTGTGGGGAATATCCCCAACTTCCTAGAGCCCTTTGTTAAAAGGAACATAAACTTACAAGAACTGAACATTATAGCATTAGCTACCCATAACTCCCTGACATGGGTAACTAATGAGCCATCTGGCCACCACCTTTGGACATGACACCCAACGTTTAACATTGGATAGAGGGCAGAGAGGAAAGAATGAGAAAAATATATGCAGAGCTTGGTAAGCTAGCCTCAGAGAAATCCAATAGTGAAGCCACCTGAAGTGTCTGGAAAGAAAGAAAAATAATTGAAAACAAAGGAAAGTTCTCTAAGTTTAGAATTTTGCCTTTGCCCATCTTGCTCAGAACAACTGGTTTCTAAATTAGATGTGTGATTTTTAAACCAGATATAGGACCCAACACAGCCACAACATGTTGCTCAAAGTGGATCAATAACATCAAAATCACCCAGGGTTCTCATTAAATCAGATTTCTGGCCTTCATCCTGGCCTACTCTTATGGCAGAAACTCTGGGGGTGGAGGCTGGGAATATGCATTTTTAACACATGCCCCCAAGAGATTTCTGATGAAAATTCTCTTCCTAGCACAGGATTCTCTTCCAGTCACTTCTGGACAGAATCTCCATTTTCCCATCTGCATAAAATGCAGCACTAGTTTGGGTGAGAGTCCTCAATAAATTCAACAAGCAGCAAATCTTTGGTGAGCATTTTTGGATGACTTGACACCACTTAATCCATAATGGCAGCATATCATGTTTCATTAGCAAGGATGAGTGGCTGACATAATGGAATATGAGGTTCTGTATTAATAAATACACCGTCTCCCCGAGCCCACGAGGAGCCCATGCAGCTTGAGCAAACCTTTGTTCCCATGTTCCCATGTAGAAATCTCAGCAATATTAGGCACAATTTCCAGCAGTGAAATAATGTATTGTTTGTCAACATTCTATAAAATGTATAACTTTCTTAGAAGAAATGGAAAATCACTTGTGAGAATATAGAATTCTACATGATGATTCTACATGTAATGAGCCTCCAGATAGTTATGATGTTAGGGTCCCTATGTGCTGAAAGACATAAATAATATTTTTAAAATTTTATTCAAAATTACAAATTTATTAAAAACCACAATAAATACTGAAAAATATGCTGCTGATTCACTCTTCTTTCATACATATATGAATGTAAATATGTAGATGTAGATACAGGAATGTGTGTAAATATATGTAAATATCAGGAAAATAAAAAGCTGTGAAAATTGAAGAAAATTGTAAAGAAGAATTGTAAAAGAGAAGAAAGTGATAGTTCAAAGGAAGATTTGGAGGAAATTATACTTGTATTGTGTTAGAGAACAAAATCAATTCTTTCCAGATATGTAACAGTCAATATCACAATGGAAAATATTCACTTCTAAGAGTTTTTCTCTTAAGGTCAAAAACATGTTTTCAGAAATGTATCAAACAGTCCTTTAGGAATCACCACATTCATCGTTTCTCTCTTCCCTGTGCCTTTTCACTGCAGGAGAATTGAAGTCATCTTGCACCCGAGTCAGTTCAAGCTGTTATAACAAAATGCCATAGGGGCGCCTGGGTGGCTTAGTCAGTTAAGCGTCCGACTTTCGCTTAGGTCATGATCTCGCGGTTCGTGGGTTCGGGCCCCGCGACGGGCTCTGTGCTGACTGCCAGCTCGGAGCCTGGAGCCTGTTTCAGAGTCTGTGACTCCCTCCCTCTCTGGCCCTCCCCTGCTCACACTGTCTCTCTCTCTCTCTCTCCTAGAAATAAATAAAAAACATTTAAAAAATTTAAAAAAAAAAAACAACAAAATGCCATAGACTCGGTGGCTTAACCAACACACATTTCTTTCTCACAGCACAGGAGACTAGAAGCCCAAGTTCAAGTTTCCAGCAAGGTCGGTCTTCAGTCTTCAGTGAGGCCTCTCTTCCTGGCTTGTGGACAGTCACCTCACTGACCTTCCCGGGCCTGATCCTGGACAGAGAAGTCTGTCCTCGTCTTATTCAGACACTAATCCCATCGTGGGGGTCTCATCCCGTGACCTCATTTAAACTTAATTATTTCCCAAATGACTCATGTCTGTATACATCACAGCGGGGGGTGGGGCTTTAACATATGGATATGGGAGGAAGATACTAACAGCGGACAGCACCGGGTTGAAGGTAGCACAGTGCTGGTGTGCGATTATGCAGTCAGTCGGTACCCAACTGAAGCCACAGTGAAAAATGCTTGAAAGAGGCATAAAAGGTTTGGTGATTTTAATAAAAGCGATATATGAGTGCTACAGACTGAATGTTTGTGCCTCTGGAAAATTCATATTGAAGCCCTAACCCCAGCTGTGCTGGTATCAGGAGGTGGAGCCTTTGGGAGATAATTAGGTTTAGTGAGATCAGGAAGGTAGGGCTCCCATGATGGGATTGGCTCCCATGATGCCCTTATAAGAAGATGAAGAGGCCAGAGTTCTCTGTCTCCACCACATAAGGGTACAGTGGGAAGGTGGCCATCTGCCAAATAGGAAGAGGATTCTCACCAGACGCTGAATCCGCTGACACCTTGATCTTGGTCTTCCAGCCTCTAGAACGGTGAGAAATGTTTGTTGTTCAAACCACCCAGCCTATGATAGTCTGTGACGGTGGCCCAAGCTAAGACCACAAGCCCTTCCAAACTTCCAGGGCCCCGTGGGAGGAGCTGGAGCTGGAAAGGGAATAAGAGTCCCTGCTTCCTGGCTACATGCAACACCCTGAAGTGACCCTGTGGGCTTAGGACTCAGTGCAGGGGGCAAAGGAGCACCACACAAGATTAAGTTGAGAAACTAAAACGCAAAACAACCATAGCCGAAATTGTCTACATTCTTGGTCCAGTAAGTAATAAAGTGATGAGAAAGGAAAGAATTGGGACGCCAGACGCGCTGCAGCTGTCCCCTGGAGCTGCTCTGCCCCTCCCCCACGGAATGGAATGGTTCCCTCTGTTTTCCTTTCATTATTCATTGTTATGTTTGGTTTTTTTTTTTTTATGAAAGGGGAAAGAAAATATTTTCCCCCCTATCATGTGATATGGTTTTATTTTTTTTCCTCAATGAATTGAGAAATATTTGCTTCCCATAAAAGATGTAGGTAAATCCTTGAAACAGTTAAAAAACAGAATATTTATCAGTGGAGAACTCCCTTTCTCCAAACAAGACAAATCTGCAGAAATATATTGGCTCCAAATCTTCTAGCGGATGTACCTTGCATCATCAGCGGTAGAAATGTGTTTTGAAATAAATTAATCTATGACTGTCATCCTAAAGGTCTGAGACCTCATGTTGGGCTATACTAAGGTCTTTCTGGTGCTTCTGGAAACTAAATCCCCTTGGGGGAGATCCAAGTAAAACCTCATGCAGGACCACAAGGTGGTCAGAATCCCCTGTACTTCTTCCTCACAAGTTCCTTTATGTGGTCTCCTCAACTTGGTCAATAGAAAATCAGAATCTAGGGGCACCTGGGTGGCTTAGTCGGTTAAGCATCCGACTTTCGCTTAGGTCATGATCTCGCGGTTCGTGGGTTTGAGCCCCCCGTCGGGCTCTGTGCTGACTGCCAGCTCAGAGCCTGGAGCCTGTTTCAGTCTGTGACTCCTTCTCTCTCTGACCCTCCCCTGCTCTTAATATCACAATTAAGTTCTCTTGTTGCTCTATCTCAGATGCAGAGAATCCCTCCCATATTTATTATTGAACTTGATTTGGTAACTATTACAGAAGTAAGAGAAGATAAATTTTCTCTTCATTCATTCAGCTGCATGTTCCCAGTCCAGATGCTTATTTAGAATCATGATTAGCAGTTATGGGGCGCCTGGGTGGCTTAGTCGGTTGAGCGACTTTCGCTTAGGTCATGATCTCGTGGTTCGTGGGTTCGAGCC